AAAATAAAATTCAAAATAAATATAAAAACTTAATAAAAAACAAATAATACGGTTATTTGTTATAAATTATAGAGAATTCCGCGAATTGCAATATATATATAATTATAAAATTATAGAATTATAAAAGTGTATTAATTTTACAGAATTACACAAAATAACAGTTAAAAGGCAATTGATTTACTGTATTTGGTTCATTAATATATAATAAAATATATGATAAGAAAATCCTTTTCTTTTTAATTTCCTTATAAACAATTTGTAGATTGCATAATAAATGCATTTTTCTTATTATATTTTATTCAAGGGAAAGTATTTGCATTTAGTGTACATAAATATACAGTGATGTTAGACACTATCTGTCTCTGCAATCCGTATATCAAATATAATGCCTTTATTTTATTGCTTTCATTATATGATCAACTCTTGTCTTATTGTAGCCTAACTTATGGCACAGTAATATAAGCTAATGGCACAGTTATGTTAAGGAAATACACTATTCATGTGTTAAATATTCTTAAAGTATNTTTTATTGCTTTCATTATATGATCAACTCTTGTCTTATTGTAGCCTAACTTATGGCACAGTAATATAAGCTAATGGCACAGTTATGTTAAGGAAATACACTATTCATGTGTTAAATATTCTTAAAGTATGTGATCACGTCCAGCCACTGGTCAGGCATTGGCATACATTATGTTATGCCAATTAGGACTACATTTCAAGCACTGGCAGTTTTTGTGTTTTCTCTCATTATTTATGTATTAGAGACTGAAACTAGAAATCTAAGGAATATTTATTTATAAATTGATTATAAGAATTACATTATTCTGTATTGATTGAAATGAAATACAAACAAAATATGATTTTTCATATATGATAATTTGATATTTGAAAACTAATCACTATGCTTTTGTACTATTGTACAACATAAACAGTACTATACTGTAGTAGCAAATTAACTTATTTTTATAAAAATATTTAATGCTCACAAGTTAGTATTTTATATGAATTTTTATCGTATAAGTTTAAAAAATATCAAAAGTAAGTATGTTTTTAACAAACTTTATATCAGTCGACTATATTCCTATGAGATTAATGCTAGTAAATGTCTTTTATGACATAGCTGGACACATTTCAGTCAGGTCATTACAATAATTCATTATAAACTTATTTTGTATCTATTTATACTACAACATTCAATGTTAATAAGTATAAAAATGTGCTTACATACTTTAAGAACTACTATTCCAATTACTAATAAATAAAACACACATCTTTTTAACATAAATTATTTAGAAAATGCATTCAATAAATAAAATAATACATTTCATTACAAAAACATATTGTCATTAGTGTCGTGAACTGCTCTATGAGGAGCTCATCAAAAACAAAATATTAACCAAAAATGGATGTTATTATAAGGAATATTAGATTTATAATAAATATATATTAGGAATACGTTTAATAGGAGCTATAAATGTCAAGGTTATGGCACAAATCTGGCACCAAATACTTTTTGAGTACGTATTCATATATTGCGGGTCTGTGTTAGTAGTGGTCTAATGGGAACAGTAGTTACAACTCACCCGTCGTATTGCATTGACATTCCGCAGCTCTGACTCCTCGAGAATACATTATTGAAGACAAACTCAACGAGAATTAGATAAATGGTTGCCATAGCGGCCAATATTATGAATTTGAGCAAATATGACAGCTTCAGAAATGCTACCGACGCTATCATCGTTAGTATCCAACAAAATACAAAGTACTGTAAAATACAAATTAATACATCATTAATTATCACCGTTTCAATCATTTGTCATAACCTAACCCATTATGCAAGTTATTGTACAGTCCACAATGTTCATTTGTGCAAACTTGAATGGGCTACTAAGGTTAACTGTACAAAATAATACTAGAACTTAGTGCTAAGCTTGAGATTGTGCTATCATAAATTACTACAGTATTACAAATTTGTCATCTGTTGAGTCCCTTAAAAACTTTCACAAAAATGACAAATTGTTTACTAGACTTGCACTTAAATCCTTCCTTGAAAATTGTTTGACAATATATTTATTTACTGGTAATTTATAAATAATTGATTATTTCCTTCTATGACTTTAAATCTTATGAGAGCTTAAAGTCTTTTAAGACATTTCATGCTTTATATCTATATAATATTTATTTATCGAAAATGAATTATTATTTATAATGAGGTCTTGGATGCGATGTTATAATGGATTTGTGTTNTGAGAGAAAACACAAAAACTGCCAGTGCTTGAAATGTATTCCTAATTGGCATAACATAATGTATGCCAATGCCTGACCAGTGGCTGGACGTGATCACATACTTTAAGAATATTTAACACATGAATAGTGTATTTCCTTAACATAACTGTGCCATTAGCTTATATTACTGTGCCATAAGTTAGGCTACAATAAGACAAGAGTTGATCATATAATGAAAGCAATAAAATAAAGGCATTATATTTGATATACGGATTGCAGAGACAGATAGTGTCTAACATCACTGTATATTTATGTACACTAAATGCAAATACTTTCCCTTGAATAAAATATAATAAGAAAAATGCATTTATTATGCAATCTACAAATTGTTTATAAGGAAATTAAAAAGAAAAGGATTTTCTTATCATATATTTTATTATATATTAATGAACCAAATACAGTAAATCAATTGCCTTTTAACTGTTATTTTGTGTAATTCTGTAAAATTAATACACTTTTATAATTCTATAATTTTATAATTATATATATATTGCAATTCGCGGAATTCTCTATAATTTATAACAAATAACCGTATTATTTGTTTTTTATTAAGTTTTTATATTTATTTTGAATTTTATTTTGTCAAACACACACACAATGTTTAGTAATATTTAATGTCTTTTGAGACTATATTTGATGAAACATGTTATTTATAAAATCCTACATTAATTAAAATAGTTATATATGATCTGAGCTACTGGTGTTTGAATTTGGCATTTTGTCTTACCATATCTATGTTAATCAAATTAAATATTAGTATAATGTATAATATCTTATTTCTGTTTCAATTTTTTAGTTTTATCGTAGTAATTTAATTTTATAAACAGTTTTGTAATTACATCTGTATAATTACTACTGTATAATTATAATTAAATAATTAAGTTATATACTATCTTTGTTTAATCTATAATATATAAATCTCGATAAACAAAATAAATGTTAATATATTTGTATAATTTCTTTACAGAAACTCATGTGTAAAATTAAAAATCAAAGTATTCGTGTTAATCATTTTGTACCTGTTTGTCGTCATATATCACTGTCGTCTCGTAAGTCACTAAATACTAAATTCATTAGCAATTATTTAATTTCTTATTGTATATAATAGTAATTAAATAAAATGCTATTGTTCAAAGTAAATAACATTCAAATATTTATATTTATATGAGTTACAATCGAACAGATAGTAAATTTCAATATATTTAAATAGTGTTTAGTACTGTACAGAACAATAACGTTAATATCAAAGCAGATTTGAAGTGTATAATCGTTTGATTGTTACCCATATATTCTGCTATACATAAATGCTTTATTTAGTGCAAAGTGTAAACAACTTAATACAGTTTTAGAAATAATTTATGACTTCTTTATTGTCTAACAAGTAAGAAATCAATGCTTTGTATAGTATTGCGTGAACGTCTTATTATTGGGAAAATATAATATATTAGATAAACATAATGAGAATAAGAGCTTTTAATGAAACCTTATTATATACGGCCTGAATATAAATATTAAATTAACTTTTTTTATATGGCCAATTTTGTTTGGAAAAAAAATCTTTTAACAATTCTTGAAGTGCTTTATATATAAATATATTCTTTATATAACATATACTCGCCTTTCTTTCTCTAAGAAAGTATTATATTGTGTTTATTATATTTAGTATTTACTGAATATGACTATTATTATAATAAACTATATTATTGTGAATACATATGAATACCACAGATTGAAAGGACGTCAAGACTAGACTTTCTTTGGAAACTTCAGGCGCAGAAAGAATTGCAAGATATGAGGGAATTAAGGCATTATAACACACAACTACTCAAGAATATTCTGCCCGATCACGTGGCCTCATATTTCCTGACACATGACCGCAACTCTGAGGTACACATTATATCGCATGCCTATCCCTCATCCCACGTATGACTTATGGCTAACCATTAATGCATTATATAATAAGACATTTTAGCAAATTATTTACATTTAGTTTCTTTTCTTTCATTTATTTTGATTACAAATAAACATCTACTGAAAATATATTGTCTTTTAGATGAAAAATATTATATATTTTATGAATAATGATTATTACCAAAGTTTTGAAGTACTGTATATAAATATACTTTATTGTTTTTCACAAACAATAACATAAACTATTATTCATTCATTACAATGTAATAACTTTAAGATTCTTTTGCGAAATATGACATTTTAAATATACAAGCTATTCAATTTATAATTAATTTTTATAATACAGTAGTAGTATAAGTCTTTAAATGCTACTGGGTACTGTATGGATATGAATATTTACTATAATATATCTATAGCTTCTATATTTTATTAAAACCAGATAATGAATTATGACTTAATTATGAATTTAAATATAAAATTAAATATGTAGAAAATTGTTAAATATTATCTATGTAAATTTACTAAATTGTGATTAACGTATTGATACTGTTGTACAGGAACTGTATGCCCAGTCCTATGCAAACTGTGTGGTACTGTTTGCCTCAATACCAAACTTCGCAAACTTTTACTCCGAAGACGTGAATAATGGCGTCGAATGTATTCGACTTCTCAACGAAATTATCTTTGATTTCGATCAGGTCTGTAGGCCAGGGGTTTGGGCTATATATTAGCTCTGAGTTCATATGATTGGACAGGATATTAACGCCGATTCACTATTCGGTCATAAACTCTATTACAGCTCATGGATGACGACCGGTTCCGTTGCATCGAGAAAATCAAGACAATTAGCTCAACATATATGGCTGCCTCTGGACTTAATCCCAGAGATCAGGTAAGACTCACTCATCACTTATATACATCTCTTTGTAAATCTCTTTCATTTCTGTCTTTCAAACTTTCACTCTTTATATGAATCATGCGAACCATTGATTTGAAATACAATTTCTCACAAAAGTGTTGAAAAAGATATCATTTTAGTTATAGTGAAAAGTGTTTGTCAACTCAAATGTCAATAATATCGTCGCTACAGATTATGTGAGGGCTCGCAAAGGCATTGCTTTAAACTAACTTCAAATCAATTATAGCGTATAATAGGATTGAAGTTTTTTCGATGCTTTTTGAAGTTTCATTAACTGTTTTAATTTTTAAATAAGTTAGTAGAATCAACAATCTTTGCTTATTGATCCAATTTTCAAGATATTGGTTATTGTCGATTGAGATATAACTTGAGAAATAGATACATACATATAATATGACAAATGGTATCTTTCAATAACATTGACATTCTCTTCAATTACTGGACAGCAAATGGATTCAGCTTTTAGTTCAACACTTTGATAGAAAAGTGAATCAAACAGATGGTCACTGAATGGCATGAATTATATTTCCACTTTCACTCACAGCTTCTTATCCGATAAAATACAAAAGTCTTATTTAGCAAAATATTTGATTTGTACCATACATTGAATTTTATATTGAAATTTAGTTTTCGTTGATCTTCTGTATAAACATCTCACTTATTATTATATTATTTTTGCTTTTTGCTTTCTGATTATTGTATATGAAATGTCAAGTTAATCTTAAAAATAATATGTTTTTTTAATAATTTAATATTATTTAATTTGAGAATGACTTAAATTATAATTAATAATAATTAATTATATTGAAAAATTAATTTGACAAAACTATTTTCTAACATATAATAAAAAATAAATAACTTTAATGAAAATCAAATAATAATATACGATTCTGTATCCGTTTGTCTCTCTAATAACTTATAGAATATAAAATCTTTAATAAAAATAAATGACATCAAAATTCATAGCCATTCGCATCAAATGTTCAGAGTCATAATCCTATGGGTTATTCGTGTATATGAAATACGAAGACATTTATGGCTTTATTTTGAACGACAAAAACAAAAGAAAAAATTTAATAAATTCTGTGTTCATATATTTTCAATCACTTCTTGTGATTTTATATTTTTTAAAATAAAGGCTTGTCTGATGTGTGTGTACTGTATATTAGGGCAAAAGTGTTGGCTTTTTATTGAGTGCTGTGGCAGACCTGGCGTTGTCTATGAAGGAGGCCTTAGAAGACGTCAATAAACACTCGTTTAATAACTTTAAACTAAGAATTGGTAATTCATTTAATTGAGATTTCTAATGAATAAATATATTAGTATATGTTTGTCACTATAACTGCTTAAACTTAACTTTATTGGTGATAAAACTATTTTAAAAGTTGCATTTTTATCGATGATATTGTTAAGTATCTATTTCAGTTCACATTGATTACACAATGTCATTATGTCTAATAGGTATAACCCATGGACCAGTAGTTGGTGGTGTTATAGGTGCCAAAAAACCTGTGTATGATATTTGGGGCAATACTGTAAGTATTTTATTTAAGTACACCGTATTATTGTACGGTATATACAATAAAACTATTTTATCAAAACATTTATATTTTGTAAATGAATTGATAATTGGTAACTACTGTATGATTTAATAATTAATATAATATATTGTGAATTGTATGAACAGGTGAATGAGGCTTCGCGTATGGACTCTACCGGAACCATAGATCACATTCAAGTAATTTGTTTATTAAATTCATTTTATTATATAATTACATAAACGACATTTTTGCAATTGAATGATAAATATGTAGATTTTATATTATGATATTTATATTTATTTCTATTATTTAAAATATTCAGTTAATTTATTACTTTCTAAAATAATGTATATAATAGTAACATTCTGTATGACCTACAGGTGCCAAAAGCATCCGCACAAGTGCTGGAAACGGAAGGCTTTCGCGTTCATTATAGAGGTGTAGTTCCCGTGAAAGGAAAGGGAGAGATGGAGACGTATTACCTGATGGGCCGTAAGATCGAAAGAAGCAAATCGTTTGGTCGCTCGCAATACGCGGCCAAACACTCGATGACAGCCGTCCTGTCGGCGATGGTTAACAACCGCAAGAAGCAGACACTTGGGTCGAGTCTGTCGGTGCCGAGCTCTAAGCTGCAGCTGAGGCCCCGCAACTCACCCGGACTATCGTCCCTAAGCTTCAACTTCCGTAAAACTAGTCGTAGTCCTCATCGACTAAATCGGATGCAATCGGAGATGGGAGGCAGGCCTAAGAGGGGCGGCAGTACTGTCGAGCGCCGCACACCCGACACCGGCGTCAGTAGTCACTCGTTTCCTGATATTATAAGCACCGGATCTCTGAAGGAAAGGGGGAGGGATAGGAATAAGGACCAGACCATCATTAATATCTAATTTATTAGTGGACGTCGGTGTGTATTGTATGATCAGCGCCGGTATTCCCAAAATATGACACAATACGTGGAGATGTATTGATATGAATGGCTACTAATAACAAGGCTCTCTTAATTATATACAATTATAATTAAAATCAAATATACAGTAATTTTTATTTTAGGCATAAATCTAAACTAAATAAAGTTTATTAAATTATTTAATGTTAAGTTTAAAACCTATATAAAATCTAATTATTTAATACAAATTGTTTTAATAATAAATAATATTTTATAAATAAATTTAAAATAAAATAAAATAATTTATTCCCTAAATAAAATTATAGAAATGATTTTTCACAGCCATAAGATAAATTGGGTGGAAATAGATGGCTTTAAATAAATAGTTTATTGTCTATATTAAATGGTGTTAAATATTAAGAATATGTCAAGAATATTCCATGAATGTCCTTTAAACCTATAGTGACATCTGGTGTTAAATTGTAGTAAATTTATATTACCTAACGAGTAAATTACAATCTTTTTTATATTGATAATACAATACAATACAATCATATTTTATTTTGTTCAGCCCCTCACAGACTCATACCCATCCAGGACAAAATAAAAATTTAACAGAAAAATAACTCCAAATTTTTAAATTTCAAAAATAGTTTGGTCCCTTTTTATAAACTACCTATAGTTATATGAAAAAGACTACCCCTTGGTTTTGCAGGTCTAGAGAAAGATTTTTGAAAATTGAACTCATTTTTAGATGAGGTTTTCAATGAGGGAGTTACACATATGCTGTTACATTGATAACATACAACGTTCCCTTCATATAAGTAAATTCTATAATTAATTGAATAATAAAGAATTAGTTTAATTATAGTTTTATTTAAATTTAAATTTTAGTGGTTTTTAAATATAAGTATAAATTTGACAATTAATCGAAACATAAAAACAAATTTATATTTTATCACAGATTTTGAAAGACAAATAATAAATGGTATTAAAACACAATTCAATAATTTATAATAAAATGTTGTTTCAATTAAAACATTAATAAGGATTTAACGGTTTTAATAAATCTATAAATATAGGGATTGTGTGACATATAATGGCTAATTTAACATATTCTTTACATTCACTTATAAATAATATATTATTTATATTATATATACAATTATTTATAAATATTTATAAATATTTAATTAGTATGTGACAAACAGTTAATCCTATATAAGAGTCAACTTATGGTGCAATTATATGTGAATTATTTATATATTTATATAAAGTTCTTACTTGTATATTTATATATAATTTAGCAGTCAATAATGTACTTATATGTATATTACAATTATTTGGTAACAGTTAGCATTAATACTTAACATGTTATATTCAAATTTTAAGGCTTCAATTAAATATTCATTATAACTATTTTAGACACTGGTATTAATTATATACAGATTCAAGATTTAGATCTGTATAAGCTATAAATTATATAAACGTTTAGTAATAGTATTTATAATAACAAATAAATAAGTTGGATATAATTGATATATTTAGCTATTTTATATATGAATTCATACAAAAAGTGTTTCTTTGATAAGAAATTCTTAAACAAGAATTAAAATTCTCTTTTTGTATAATAATTTGAGAGAATATTTTCGATTCCCAATACAAATCTCGTTGTATTGAAAACACAATTAATTAATAAAATTCTAATATAGAAAAAGTGATTTGAAAACGACTAAAATGTAGTTTAATATAAAAACAGTAATTATTT